CCTCGGCGTAAGAGGTATCTCAGGTCTCAGAATCGCTCTCCAAAGCCGGTTCAGCCAGTATGAGTAGCCCGAAGACTCAACAATGGGGACCGAGCTTTCTGCTTTGTTTGCCGCCGTTTCCCAAGAAGGCGTAAACATTTGAGGTTCAGGAATGGGCAACTAGGAAAACGGAGCCCTTGTTATAAAGCCGGATTGGAGTATCGCAGACTATCTGGTCCCCCCTCAGAAACATCTCCCTTACGGAGCATCGAAGTGCCCATAGCGCTCCGTCTCTGGCGTTTTGAAGAATCGAAGCGAACTCGAATCCCGCCTCAAGATAATCCTCTCCGAGCGAGACCTGACCGATGGGTTCTCTTGAAACCCCGATCGGAATTAGGATAAGTTTGCACAGACATGTGATAGGAAGCTGAGCTTCTCTTCGAAGATATTTTGTACATTGCGATGCCCACACGAGGGAATGAATGTGTGAGCTTGGTTCGACGAATGCCGGGTTTCACTCATAGAATTGAGGCAAGCGTCAGTTTTCCGGATGAGGCTTAGCGACATGGCGGTGAAGGTCAGGCTACGGGCCTGGCTCTCGACATTCGCTATCTCGGATTTGCTGGTGGTCAGACAAGGACTTTATTCGAACGGTTCTCGACACATCACACTCAATCTCGCGACGCGAGCGAGCCGCGGCGCGCTCCTTAGTTGACCTGTATGCTCCTTGAGGACTCTCACAATCAGCGATATACAAAGAATGAGAGTATCTGAAGTCGTTTCGCCGTAGCCGAAAGTCTAATGCTCGATCGCCTCTCTCCGGAAAAATGCCCGAGGAACGTGGTATTCTGGAACCTTTTCGGATCAGTCGGCAGTCCTTTAGTCCTTTCCGGTAAGAGCCGTGATCCATCCCTTATTCGAATTCTGTATTCAAACACGAAATCCTAGGTGTGAGAAGAATTCAAAGGAACGAGGTTTGCGGAACGAACTACTTCCGGAGGAAAGCAGGATCATTCCAGCAATTGAGGGAATATGCATCTCCGAAGGAGTCTCCTCCACCGTAGTACTCCTCCCTTTGAGGAGAAGATAAGCATTAGGATAATTTCGAGCTTCCGAAGAAATCGGCGATGCGAATTGCCGAATTCGCAATTGCCGAATTGCGAATATTTCCTCGATCCAGGGAAAGCGTCCTCTCCTCTGACCTCGATTCCGGAGAAGTCCTCCTCCCGCATGTGAGCCACAGCTTCTCGTGACCTGCTAGAGAAACCTTCTTCGCAAGAATCCGATATCACACAGCCTTCGATTGTCATTGGGGTTAGCTGGTGTCTCTCAAGACCTAAAACGCTGGATGTATTCCCAGACCTGTCGGGTTCAATCTCGTTCGAGCATCGACGACAGAGAAACTGCCGATCCCTGTTTGGCCCTCGATTCTCCTTGTCGCTTCCGCTGCCGGGACTTGGAGCGCTTTGCCCGAGTTTTCTAGAGAGTTCATCGGAATCGGGATGAGGGTCAACTTCAATTACCTAGTGAGAGGGTTTGCTGACCATGAAAGGTCGTGAAGCAGATTGAGTCAACCCATATAATTCTATCTCAAACCATTGCCTTCCCGCTCGTCGGAGTGATTCTCCACTCCGTCGTCGACTTCGATCTCAAGTTCTCACGGGTGCGCCTTCTCAGCGGGATCAGGCGATGCCCGGATTCTCGCTCCGCTATATCCAGCTGGGGTCGGACTTCCTCGATTAATTCTTCCTGGTCATCCCCCACTGCGGGTGGACTCGGTTCTGATACCAAGGGTCTCCTCGATGCGTGCTTCTCATGGAAGCGCCTCTTCGGCGGATTCTGGTGAAGCTCTGATTCTCCCCAAGCCATCTCCAGCTGAGGTCGGGATCCACCGGAAGATTTTCCACAGTTCTCCGAAACCACGAGTGGGTTTCCTCCGGTGTTTTTCTCATCGGAACGCTGCCCCTGTGGATCCTTGCGATGCTCAAGTTCTCGCTCCGCTACTTCCAGCTGGGGTCCGGAATCGACAGCTGGCAATGTTGGGTACTCCTCAACCGTGGACGGACTCTGTTCAGTAATCGAAAAAGCTGCCCCCTGATTTCGCATCGGATGATCGCTCCGATTCTGGTCTTCCCAATCGTCTTCGTGCGATGAACTTTCTCGGAACGTTGCAGATTTATCTTTCGTGAGTTTTTTCAGTCTGAGGGTGTCAGTCGGACTCACTGCTCCGGCCAGCCGGCCCCGGCCGAGATTCACAAGCGGCAAGTGTCCGAAAATCTCTTCCCGTGCCGCAGAGTCAAGCCGGGACGCTAATGATGTGGATTCGACCGTATTGCCGTATACTTGCATCGAGGAGAGATCGGAACCATATCGGGGATACTGAGTGAGTTTTGAGACACAGAGTTGGGTGTTTTAAGCGTCGATCGACTTCCGCATCCTCGAGCAAGCCGGTATTTCGCTTTAGTATTCCGGCATGCTTCTCACATGACGCCTGTCTGGAATACCAAGAGGAAGCCTTTGGTATCCATGCTAGGAATTCTCACTGAACTTGAGTCTCATTGGCCTAGGGATGTGTGCGACTTATTCGGATGAGAAGCCTTTGAGAAAAAGTGACGACTGCCCGGCGAACAGGCTTCCGGGAACGCGAGGCCGAGCAAAAACCAGCCATGCTTGAGAGGCATAGACCCGGGCTCCGGGACATTAAGGATCGATGGTCGATCGAACATCGAAGCATGCAACAGCTCCCTCTGACCTGAGACACTCAGAACCGGAGCGCTCTCCGGTGTTCAATGGATATACGACGGTCTCCGATTTTCTGAGAGCCCACAGAAGCATTTGAAAAGCGGAGTCCGCCTACATATTGCCGATTTCTACTCTTGATAGCTGAACAGAGAAACAGACAGGGAGATTGCCGCGATCAATCTTCGAGTAATAAACGAACATACATACCTTCGATATGACGAGTCCATTGTCCAATCGTTCAATGGAAGGCTCCGCAGATGGAGCGGGCGATCCGAGGATCTCGACAGACTATAGACTGAATGAGTCCGCTCTCTCCGGAGGCTCTGATAGAAGATGATGTCCATCGAGACATAAGAGACCGTATTCGAAGCATCGGCACATTTGGACATTCTCGACTCCATTCGAGCATCAAAGATTTCCCTGAAGTTTCTCTACTGCTCCGTGATGTTCTCGAGATATCGAGATAAAATCTAATAATCGCCGTTTCAAGGACTTCGGAGCATTTCTCGAACTCTCCTGTAGCCCATTAGCTCCCTTCGTTGTTGGCTCCTTTCGTTTGTCAAACGTTTGTGACTGGAAAGATCTCCGTCCCTCGGAATCCTCCGAGATCCTAGCTCTATAGAATCGTCAGAGATCAGCTCCACGATTCCCTTTTTCTCCTGTCGTTCTTTTGATCGGGGTACGACGAGGGACTTAGCTTGTCGAAGAACCTCCCGGAGCGGTGATCTCATCCTTTCCGTTTTCTCGAGCGTTGCCGACGGAAGCGTCGCTTTTCGCCGACTCCTTTATTGATGTGAAACTCCGGAACGTTGTCTTCCGAATGAGAGCCAAGCCAAGTCGGTACCCGTGCAGTGACGCAGCTCACGTCAAGCGACAAACGGACGCCGCAGGCACGTCAGCCTTCATTTCTCGGAGACTTCTCTCTGGGCATGGCGTACAGCTGGTCAACATTCGTTGACGAGAAATTACGAGTACATCCCTCCTGCCACTGCTCAAGTCTGTAGATTCGGTGCTCAGAGATGAACACACGCGAGAACTATTTTCCCGCGAGGGCTCTTTCCGCATCGAATATTTCAGATAGAGTCCGAGGCGGGTTGGCGTATACTCCGCATAGGACACGTCGACGGCTGCGAATCATCTCTTCGCTTACCAGATCTTGGTGAGCTCAGACAATGATTCCACGGCGGGAGTCGCGTGACATGCTTCTCGCTGTTCCTGGCTTCAGATACTCTGCGCAGCCCGACCACGAAGAGCCATCTCTCCATCGTCTTCTTTCGGAGTTTCCAATCAGAAAAAAACATGCCACCCTTTCCTCAATTGATTTGCATCAATCGCAGTAGGCATACAACGTCGTTGGCACATTGTCCAAACGCTCAAGGGCGGGGAAATGTCATGCAAGGACGGTCCACGAACGTGAACTGTCACAGCCCCGGCGCCAGTTGTCTCCCGACTGCGTATCTGACCGAGAGGGTTTGATTGAGTCTCCGAAATATCGACAATTGAGTCGGCGGAATCGATACTTCAGGCCTCGATTTCGATCGCCCAAGACGGCCCGTCGCGAAGTCGATTGCGATCCGGCGACTACTGCCGCGCGAAGCTCTGTCCTCAGACAAAGAATACCCGATTCCCCGAAGACGGAGCTGATAGCCGGCCGGCGAGCGGAGCGGGCAGCCTATTGGGTTTATCAGGTGGAGCCATTTCAATGTCGAGGATCGATGTCTGATTGATTGGAGGCATGATATCCGTCGATTTCCACGGCCTTTCATCATGAGAGTACGAATCGGTATGAACATACATCAGGACAGGTTTTGTGAGGATAGCCCTAGGAGGAAAGCGCTTCCGACGATTTCGATCGCATTAGAAAAATGCTTGTGCGGAGTTCCCGTCGGAACATTGTCGCAGTCCGGAGAATCAGCGACTCCTCTCTGTTCAACCACTCCGCTCGGAAGCCGACGCTCTAATGGGAAGCGTCACGGCATCTCAAGTACAGAATTTCTCATTCCAAAGCTCACGGCTTTGGGAAGGGTTCCAGAAGATGGACGTCACCTTGTACGACCAGAACTTACTCTGCCGGCTCCTGCAGTCCCGAATCTGACGTACACCGGCAACCGTCCGAGAACCAGTCTTTCAAAATTTCTCGAACGAAACCCTCCGGTCACTCCTCGCTCTGACAGTCGAAGTCTCCCCCGGGAAGGTGCGGATCGCTGTGCATCTCAAACATTGGCACTAGATGACGAACCATCTTCCTGATTAATGGCGCAAAAGAAGTCATGAGGAAATTGTGAAAATATAACCATAGGTTCTTTATTCAGAACCTCCAGGCGCGACATTGAGTCCATCTCAATTTCTCGGTGAGAGCTTGACTTTCAACGTTTCCTTCGGGAAAGGCAAAAACATTTGCCCGGGAAGCCTTTCGATAGGAGCTTGGTACTCTCGAGACGGGTCGTACGCTTTGTTGACGACTGGCTCTAGACGTACGGTCCGGAGAATGGCCACCGTGAAGATGAGCAGCTGAAAGATGGCGAAACGTTGTCCGACACAGTTTTTAGGTCCTTCGCCAAAAGTTATAACGTCCTGTATCCTTTCGCCACCGTCGACGAATCTCTCGGGTTTGAAGTGCGTCGGCTCGTGGAACCGTTCCGGATCTCTGTTGACAGCGCTCGTCGGGACTTGAATCGCTATACCCTTGTCCAGGGGGACCCCCGCCACGGTGCACGGTTCGACGACTCTCCGGTCGATGACATAATCCGTCGGATACAATCTCAAGGTTTCATATATGGCGGCTTCGACGAGCCTCATTTTGTTGTACTCCTCGAATGTCACGTTATCAGGATCAGAAATGTTCTCAATGATGTCCTGGTAGACTTCCTCCTGCTTCTGAGGATGAGTTGCCAACAAGTACATGATGAACATGAGAGTGTAGGCCGAGGTCTCAAAGCCAGCCAAGAAAAACACGAACATCTGAGCGACTAGCATGACGTCAGTGAATTCCGGGTTTGTTTCTTGAGCTTCAAGCCAGGAATCAAGTATGTCCGATGTCTCCGATTTCCGACCTTGTTTCCGACGCTGCTCTAGAACAGTTCTCGAGAACTCGACGAAAAACTGCTCAGCTCTCTTCTCAGGAAACTGTATGAAAGGCACGTATTCGAGGAGCCCCGGGAAGGCCATCATCAGCGTCAGACCGAGGCTGCTGCTGAACAAGCCGGTGCAATTCTTCACGAAAACGTTATTTGGATCATCGAGAGCATCGACCTCTAGGCTGAAGGTCACGGCCGCTATGCCGTCCATGACCGCGGCGTGCGAATATTCAGCGGTAGAGATCTCCTTGTTGCTCTTCGCCAGTTTTCTCAACTTGGTCGTCAGTCGCTCCGCAGCTCGCTCGAGCTGGGGTTTCATCTGTTTCAGTTTCAACCCTGTGAGGACATGTCCACTGAGAGGTCGGACCGCTCTCCATTCTTTGTATCCCAGCACAAGAATGTTGTTGTCCCAGAGCGTTGAGCCGGTTTTCGCCGCAACTGTTCGACCATGAGCTTTCGAGAAATTCTTCGAAAGAGCTTCGGTCAAACTCTCCCGGGAAGAAACTCGCAGAACGGGGCTCAGACCCTGGTAAGTACCATAGACGCTCCCGTATTTCTCCGTGTAGTCTTCGAGAGAATCGAAGATATCCACGCGGCTCTGACGGAACAGGAAGTACCACAGATAGCTGAAGTAGGACTCATAAGGTATGCCCTTATTCTTCCAGTAGATGGCGGTTCTGTGAATCTCGCGGGCAAGCAATATCACGAGCACTGCACAGATGGAGGAAAGACAGAGCAGGATCATTGTTCCGATTGCGATGGAGACGCCATTAGCATTGGATCTCAGCTATGGATGCTCTGTAAGAGATAGAGCCGGAGAGACACTCGTCACTTTTCCCGAGAGAGGGGGAATGAAACCAAGGTCGCCGCGCATTGACAGAGCCCGTCAGCGGGACAATCGGTAAAAACAAACATAGATTCCTGATCGCCCCGGCGTTTGCCGGTTCGATATATGCACCTGCAGTAGTCCAATCTCCGGGGAACCATTCGAGTCATGTCCAGGGGAGCGTCCATTCTCTGCTGATATATCATGCTTCCAAAAGCTCGCATCGGGAGGGTCCACGCACAGAGACCTGGAGCTCGCTACGATTATTTTTATCAATTATCACGCCTCGAGTGGGGATGAACCAGGCTTAGCACTGACTCAGCGCGAGAAATGTGTCCGAACGTAAGTGTCTGCGCGACTCTAACAGGGTCTCGTATGGAGGTTAATTCTCGTAAGGGCTTCGAGATCCCATTCCCTCAACGCTCGAATGGAGTTCGTTCATGCGCTCAGAATAGAGTCGATCCTCGGGACGAGAAAGACTTCCCAGAGGGAGGAGGAATGATCCAAGTACTTCTGAGACATGAAGAATTCCTGATTCTCGGGTATACGGAACGGTCCCAAAAATGTTTTCCCATTTTCTTGGGAACGGTGAGGTTTAGAGGGAGAAAGGCGATGGATTATCCCTCCCTCCGAGCTTTCCGATTTCCTATCAAAAAAACATACTGCCCATCAAATCAGGGATGATGCCTACGGGAAAAAGTCTCAAACTCGAAATGGTGTCCCAACATCTTTTTCTTCAGAACTCAGCCTTCCCGAGAATACCGAGAATAGTAGCGAAGAATCGAGTGAGGGACTTCCCGGTATACCGGGAAGGAAGATTCTCCATGTGAAGCGCTTCTACCCAGCAGCGACTCCATGAGCCGACTCCCGGAGACATCGGAGAATCTCGGCTGCAAGGAGCCCCGGTATCGTCGCTTCCAGACGTCGGGTATAGTATCAGGGGTATGAATATCCGGAATCGAATCAGAGATAGCTATGCGGAAACATATCTCACAATTGTTGTCAGTCTGAGTTGTTATTAGTTGTCAGTTGTTAGTCACTCAAATTGTCAGTCTGAGCAGCTCACCCGCCTCCCCTGTGAGGCTCTCTCGAATCGAATTGTTTCTTGTCACTTTTGGTAGCTCTATATCGGCCGGAGTTATCCCAATGCCCTCGTTCTCTTCCTCGAGCCTACCCGGGAAGCAAGGACGGCATGCTGCCCCCTCCCGTTCTGTGAATCGACATATAATATAACATGGTGAAATCTAAGGAAATATCGAGTTTGTTCTGATCCTTTGCGGAACGTCTCGTTCCCTCGCGAGGCTGCCCGGGTCTAACAAAGCGAGGCGAATCGGAGCTCAAGTGTTCTCATTCAGTTCAGTAGGAAAGTTCCTGACACGACCGAAGACAGTATGGGCTCCGACAAACTTCCTAGCAAAGCAAGCTTTCGAGATCAGATGTTCCAGGATATACATCGAAATCCAGAACTAATATCGGAGTTCTGAATCCTCCTCAAATCTGTTTAGGAACCATGCGTCGTACCTAGGAGCCCCCTGTCGGAAGAATGGGCTGAATGAATTAAAGGATGCTTGTCCCGTGACTATTATTCTATACGGTCCCTCGCACTGAGTTTCACTTTCGAGGTCTTCCTCGGGTACGGCAGGAACGCGTGCCCAGGCATTCTTCCCACTTCAGTCTGATGCTCCAGCGAGGGATCGTATGCCTCGTCGTCGGCTGGTTCGCACAGTCCGTAGGATCGCTGTCAGGGAAATGAGTAGCTGGAAAACTGCGAAACGTTGCCGGACACAGTTCTTGGGGCCTTCGCCGAAACTCATGATATCTAGTATTTTTTCACTCCCGTCCAAGAATCTTCCAGGCCTGAACAGCGTCGGTTCCTGGAAACGCGCCGGATCTCGGTTGACAGAGCTCTTCGGAATCTGAATGGCTACACCTTTGTCCAACGAAACCCCCGGATCTCAAGGTTTCCCAAATGGCAGCCTCGGCGAGCGTCAACTTGTGATAGTCTTCGAATGTCACATTTTCTGGATCAGTAATGATCTCAATATTATCTTTGAAAATCTCTTCCTGCTTCCGAGGATGTGTAGCCAAGAGGTACGTTGTGAACATCAATTGTGTAGGACGAAGTCTCGAGGCCAGCAATGAAAAACGCAAACATCTGTGAAATTAGCATGTCGTCCGTGAATTGTGGATTCGCTCTCTCCAACCAGGAATCGAGCTCATCCGACTCTCCTGGCTTTCGATTCTGCTTGCGCCGTTGCTCTAGTACCGCTCTGGAGAATTAGACGGAAAACTTCTCAGTGCCTGAATCGGACGAAAGGCAGAATTCCGAGCAGTTTGGAAAACGCTATCATCGGTGTCAAACCGAGGCTGCCCTTGAATATGCCTGTGCAGTGCTTGACGAACACGTTATCGGGATCATCGAGCGCATCGACGTCCAAGCTGAAGGTAGCCGCTGCAACACCGTTCACGATGGTAGCTTGCTAGTGTTGAGCAATAGCTATCACGGTATTTTCCTCCGCCAGTTCCTCTATCTTCGCCGTGAGTCGCTTTGCAGCTCGCTCGATTTGATTCTTTATCAGCCGTAGTTTCGACCCCGTGATAACCTGACCGCTCAGCTGTCGGACTATCCTCCATTCGTTGTAGTTCAGCGGGAGAATATTATGATCCGAAAGCTTTGAACCGATCTTATGCGTGAGCGTTCTGCCGTGAGCTTTGGAAAAATTGCTCGAGAGAGCCTCTTCTAGACCTTCTCGAGATGAAAGTCGCAGGACAGGTTTCAGACGCTGATCCGTATACGCTGCCGTATTTCTCCCGATCGCGAGCGTCCCAGCCGAGATACAGCAAATAGCATCTGTCAGAAACCGCGGTGGGTCTGCGTACGTTGACACAGGAAAAACGGGGAATATTCCGCTGAGGGGGCGTCTCGGAGTACCAAACATGGTAGGTAGTTTGCTCGGACTTCCCGACGGGCGGGTCCCATGAAATGACGAGCCTTACAGTCTCCCGGTGCCGGCTCCTCCCGGAAGTCCACTGGCCGGGGAGAAGGGGGAAGCCTTACGAGGGCAACAGAGACCACACAGACATATTCATTGGTACTTCAATGGTTCTATATACATACGTGCTCACGTTTCGCGCCATCGCCTGTTTCACTGCACCGAGAAGGGAAAGCCTCTAGGGTCCGCACTTTCCGCGCGATTACGAAATCATTAAAGGATAATCCAAGTGATTTCGGGTCTTTTATTCCCGGGGACGGGCTGGTCAGCAGGTTCTCTTCCCGGAAAGCTGCTCCCGGAACCATAACTAACAAAAGGGTAACAATTGATCCGCAGTGCGAACAGATTCGGCCAGCTCAATGAGAATTCCCTCATATTGGAGGAGGAAATCAAAGCACATCATGAACGTTTCGAGGTTTTCAAGTCCTCCGTCTCCAACCTCAGCTAGCGCGTCGACTTGCAGCAATTCGGGCGCACGGATGGAAGTAGGATAAAATGCGGCGAAATGTTTGAACACACAGCGCTTGCTTGTCTCGAAGGCATTCTGAAATGACGCGGCCCATAACCGGACTTTTCATTCCTCAACTCTGACCGCCCGAAATAGGAATCAAGGTATTCGGAGAGGTTTAGTTTATTCTTATCGTGAACGCAGAGCTTGTTGCTTTTTCTAATTGAAGATAGAGCACCACGCATCCCCTGAAACGGCTTGAAACGGGATATCCCGGAGCCCATTGGACCCAATGTGATACATGGTCTAACTCGTCGGGGAATTTTCCAGTTAACGAACCTCTTCACGGAACTGATCGAGTTCCTTAAGCGGAACCTCACTGAACTCGTTTCACCCACAATTTCGCCAGAACGAGGATCATTCAGTGCTTTCCGTACGGAGCCCTAGCTTAAGAGGCTCTTAGAGAGTATTCGTCACATCGTCACACTCCTGGATCAACACGGAGTGCTCAGATGAATAATATCCCGCTCGAAACGCGGCCAAGTCTCAGAATATAGGTTCCATAGGTCAGACAAAAATAGGTGACTCAAGTACGAGGACGACTCAAGTTGTAGGGACTCAATTGTGAGGTCGCACTGTATGGCAATCCTCAGTGATGAGTGATGAGTTGATGAGTAATGACTTCTTGATGGAAGGAAGCTCTATTTAGCCATCTCCAGATATCAGCACCGCGGCATCAGATTTAGCGCCCTTATTTTTGCGGGGGCGATTCCGGGAGCGCATCTGACGCGGATCATGCTTCTCATCGTTGAAGATTCTACAAAGCACCGAGGTTCATTAAGGAGGGACGAGCATAGCGATAAAACATGGAGTAGACCGAAATTCCTCATGCTTCTCGAGCCTTTAAGGATCTCGTCAAAGAGCTAGCGCTCTATCTTTCTCAGTGAATGAATGTCACGGCCTGTCCTCGAATCTCATCGCAAATCAAGGGGGAATGAAGCTTCAGAAATCGTCTCCCGTGTCGCTGTCCTCCGCGGTCAGACCCAGCGAATTGTGGAACACGTGATTTTGCAGTCTTCCTTAGAGAATCCTAAGCGGAGAGATATTCTTCTGTCCCTCATCGCCAGGGGCCACGAGAAATCCGGCGGTCTCCTCATTCGCCGTCAATAGGATCTATGGGGTCACCCCCATTTTCATCGAGCCTCGAGCTCATGTGCCGCGCTATCTCCACATCCCACTCGAGCTCGGGTTTGGTGCAACGTGGGTTCCGTTTCGTACCACCCACAAGTCGCATCAAAATAATTCTCGACTACACTATGGTTTTTTTTCCACACTCAGAGTATCTTCTGGTCCTCAGCCTCCGATTCAAGCCGACGCGACGTCAGAATCCTTTATTTAAGGCCCGAACACTTTGAAGCCATCGTCGGGGCTCGGGTAAACAATGCGGTCGTCAGGGCAACTCGAACCCACCAGGACTCAGGCTCTGCGTGCGGATCCGGGATGCTCTCGAGTTCCTCTCATGAAATCGACTCCACACCTCTGATACTGAGCCTTCGAGTCTCCGCATGACTCATCTCACCTATTTGACGGTACGGACGTTCCGACGCCTGCACGAGCAGTGAACCTCAGTCAGTTCCGGTGACATCCCCCTGTCAAGGACTCAGTGAAAAGGGAATCTTGGAGGATTCCAAGATGCGCTTGAAGGGCATCATCTGTGATTCTATTCAACACAATATTT